GAAGTTATTTTACAGATGACTTCACAAACTGTTTGATACTAGACACCCAATTACAGTTAGCGGGGCCTTACTGTTGGAGAGGGACCACTGGAATTACAAGTATAGTGCTTCGAATTGTGTTAAAAATCCCAAAAATGGCCAGACCGCTTGCCTGAGTTGCATTTGTGTGCACTTGTTCCCGCGTTTTTATTTCGTCGTTTTGCTCCTCCTATGTTGTGCGCTGAAAAAAAATAGTGCACGGTGTACGGGCGGAGTAGAGAGAAAGAGAGTGTAATTGCGTGCGTTTGGTTATCATTGCGCCCCGTTGAGGGTCATTATTGTTGCCTGCACTGCAGTTGTCGTCCTCACGCTCGCCTATTTCAGCGTTTCACAACAAGCGAATTCGCTAAGTGTTCAGAATGCGGGAAATAGTTCATGTTCAGGCTGGTCAGTGTGGCAACCAAATTGGTGCTAAGGTAGGTTTGGTATTACAAGATTTTGTATCATTTTTCTACTGTGGTTTTGCTACTTCCCGGTATGGGCGTATCTTATTCTCTCTGTATAGTTTTTGAAGGTTCTTGTCGCATCTGCGCTTCATATTTTTCTGCTCAATCTAGTGTTTAACAATTTGTGGTCATTTCAAGTCAGAGGAATTTTCAGTTCTGGGAAGTGATCTCCGATGAACACGGCATTCAGCCCGACGGTGCATATAAAGGTGACTCAGACCTTCAACTTGAACGCATCAGTGTATACTACAATGAAGCTAATGGTAAGTGTTAGCTAGCAGATGTCCCTTATCTCATGATTTAATTCCAAATTTCTCCGGTTTTGAGAAAGGGTTTTCATTTGACGAACGAGTTGCGACGTGCGATCAGCTAGTGTTCTATTCCTTCATTAGATATTTATTGGAAGTGTTGTGTTGATGAAGTGATATATTATTCACCTAAATGTGGCGCAGCACAGTGCAATATATTTTTCCTTACGTGTCTGTGTTCTTCAGGTGGCAAATATGTGCCACGTGCAGTTCTTGTGGATCTTGAACCAGGCACTATGGATTCTATCAGAGGGGGAGTTTTCGGCCAACTATTCCGTCCAGATAATTTTGTTTTTGGACAAAGTGGAGCAGGAAATAATTGGGCCAAAGGTCATTACACCGAGGGCGCTGAATTGGTTGACAACGTGCTCGATGTCATCCGCAAGGAAGCTGAGGGCTGCGACTGCCTGCAAGTTTGTAATTAATTAGTTGCCCACGATTTTAACAGCTTTTGCTCTGTTTTCAGGAGTTTTTTGTATGAAGAAAAAAATTTTTAGGGCTTTCAACTTACGCATTCGTTAGGTGGAGGTACCGGATCCGGTATGGGGACATTGTTGATTTCAAAAATTAGGGAGGAATATCCAGATCGGATCATGAGTTCTTTCTCAGTTGTTCCGTCTCCAAAGGTATGGAGTTGTAATCTATACATAAAATTTGTGGAAGCCTTTATTTTGTTTTCGCAAAGTTTCTGCACTTTTTAGGTTTCCGATGTTGTATTAGAGCCCTACAACGCAACGTTATCTGTACACCAGCTCGTTGAGAATACGGATGAAACATTTTGCATTGACAATGAAGCCTTATATGACATTTGCTTCCGCACTTTGAAACTCACAAATCCGACTTACGGAGATCTCAACCATCTAGGTCGGTCTTTCTAATTGTGTGTTTTTTACCAAGCGTTATTTGAATTTCTTCTGTATTTGTTCCTTGACAGTCCCACCTCGTGTAGCTTTCGCCTTTTATCTAGCAAGGCGTAGTGAGTTTTGAAATTTTTTTCTTGGTGTGAGGGTTTTTTCTTGACTGCATATACTTTGGGGTTGAGCAACTTGGTAGGAAGTGGAGTTGGCATATGAATTTTACTAT